CTCTCTGATCCTCCCCTGCTCGTGCTGTCTTTCTCTGTCTCTCAGAAATAAATTAAACATTTTTTAAAAAGACCAATTGAAATATCTGTTTAATTAAGTGATTGGCGTGAAATACCAAAAGGATAGTTCAACTGTTGTTTCAGGTTTGAAAAGTTGACATCTATCATGATACCATGGCAGTAGCAAATCATTACTATTTGTGTCATATTGCAAAGGAATGGTCATAAGACCCTCCTGAAAACTGTCTGGCAAAGTTGAATCGTATATGGTGTCCTTCCTCTCATAATCCCTGAACTGAACTTGCTTCAAAAATCTGACATATATTAAATCTGTATATACTCTCATAAGTATTTACTTTCACCTTCACTTAGAGGCTTCTGTGTCTCTAATTTAAGCTATTTAGGTCATTATGTAGACTTGAATTTTTAAAGCACACTGAAAAGGAATAATCTGTCATTCCTTGTGATATTAAGCAATAAATTGCTTTTGTTGCTGTTGCATGTGCATCCATTCAAATACACAGGGCAATTTGTGCAAACATAACTGTTCTACAAAAATCTCATCATCTGAGAAAATCATGTCACATTCCTCTCTAAAAGTTCAACAAGGAGCAGCATCCATGCATATTTAACTTTCCCATGACTATATGAGAAAAGAATTACTGAGATTTTCCTTGACAGAATAGAGAAGGTGTGTGCGTAGGCTTCCATGTTCCAAACAAATTACATGGCCTCCTGTTGAAGGATGGCTTCCTTGCACAGACATCATTGCTTGACTCGCACTGTCAGAGTATGATAAAGGAGAGCTCACCCATGTTCTTAACTATGCACATGGTAGATACATCTCAGGCTGTAGTTCGACAAGTAAGCTCTGCTTCAGGATTTAAGTCTAAAGTAAATTCTGGAACAGAAGTATTCTGAAAGGGTGAAACTCTTAAAGACATTTATAAAAAGAGAATCATAATCTTCGAAGTCAAATTATTAATAATGGAAGTAACTCCTTCAAGTCTACTAGCAGTACATAGAAACATCAATGAGCTTATGCTCTCTCTCACTCTCATCTCTCTCTCTATCTCTCTCATTTTCACACATACACACACTACACACATAGGACAATTTGAATAGTAAACTTCTTTTACTTCCTAATGATTCTTAAGCATTTTTTAATGTTTATTTATTTATTTTGAGAGAGACAAACACAGCAGAAGTGGAGGTGGAGCAGAGAGAGAGAGAGAGAGAGAGAGAGAGAGAGAGAATCCCAAGCAGACTCCAGGCTGTCAGCCTGTAACCCAATGAGGGGTTCAAACCCATGAAACCATGAGATCATAACCCAACCCAAAACCAAAAGTTGGACACTTAACCAACTGAGCCACTCAGGCTCCACTTTTTCTTATGCTTCTTGTATAATGAAAGCATATTAGCAAAAATAGCAACTCAGTGATTATATGCACATATAACTTATATCACATTATATAATTATATATATATTACATATATATAACCTCGTAGTTATAACTGAAGGCAAATGTCATCCATAACTTGCATTATTTTCAAATTTTTAAAACTCAAACAATAACTCGACTAATTTATAGAGAACTGGTGTGATGAACTAATAATAATCCGGTATTGTTGGGTGTTAGGTGATTGCCTATATATGATCTTATTTATTTTACTAACTTTATGAAGCAGGTATTAATCTCATTCTCTACATGAGGAATCTGAGAGCTGAAAAGTTAAATCATGTACCAAAAGTTTTACAGCATGAAAGTTACAGTACCTGTTAATCTACATCTTCCTGATTCCACAGTGCTTGCTGATCTCTGTGCCATGCCACCCCTCCTACACACGCATGTGGACCTGTATCTTTGAAGACCAGGTTCCACAGTCATCAGACAACAGAAAAAGTAGACATTTCAAATTACTCTTGGGGTACGTGGGTGGCTCAGTAAGTTAACCTTCTGACTCTTGATTTCGGCTCAGGTCACGATTTCATGATTTGTGAGACTGGGATTTTCTCTCTCTCTCTCCCTCTCTCTGTCCCTTCCCTGCTTGCTCACTCACTCACTCACTCTCTCTCTCAAACTAAATAAATCTAAAAAAATTACCCCTAAAAATTTTCTTAGCATGTATTCTTCTTTTTTTTTTTTTTTTTTTCGTAGGGGGCACCTGGGTTGCTTAGTTGGTTGAGTGTCCCACTCTTGATTTCAGCTCAGGTCATGATCTCCGGGTTGGTGAGATCGAGACTCGCAATGGGCTCTGTGCTGACAGTGTGTAGCCCTTAGCATGTATTCTTCTAAGAAATTCCAATAAAGGACATTTTTCTACTCCTTTCTGTTTCTCAATTAGACTATATTGGTGTTTCTTTGAATATCACAGGAGGCATTTGGATTACTTTAGAGACTGTAGCATATGAATATGTATCCCTATCTATTGAAGTCACATTTCGGGTAGTAAGATGCTCATATTAAGAGGCCACAGAAGTGAACACAGCTGAAAAAGCAATGGAATCATGTTTCCCTCCTCAAATTTTCTCTAAGCAATGTACACACTGGCGAGTAAAGGTACTATGTGCCACTTAAATTGCAATTCTTCCTCCTTGTCTGTTTTTTTTTTTTCTTTAGGGATAGAGCAGGGGTGTTTGTTAAGCACATGAGTGAATTCACTTAAATTAATTGCACAAATGCTATGGTTTCAATTAAGTTTATTTTAAGTACATAATGAATATCATAATACTTATAGGAAGAGAACCAATCTGCAGATATTACTCAATGTTTTCCTGCAATTCTGCAGTGAGCTTTTTAGTCACTCTCATCCCCAATTCAAAGGCTCTCTGAATGAAGGATCTCATCCGAAATGGCTGCTGATGATACAATCTTTATTTCTGAGTTGGGTTATTTCAGTGTATGTTTAGCTAAAGTTATGAGCTGGGAGTTCATACCATATTACCATAAAGGCTTTTCCTTTTTGCAGTGTCATTATACAGCAGACTCTGATATTATATTTTCAGTTTTCACCAAGTGACATTAGGAATAAACAACCATGTGAAACTCACCACTGACCTGTCTATAAAATACAGTTCTTTATAAAAGATCCAGAGCAAATATTTGTCTTGTTCCTGTCCTTTACTGGACAATCAACATGATTTTGACCTTATGAACACTGTAAATTTTGTAACAAAATGGGTAGTGTTCTTTGCTTTGTCCAGCACAAAAGATCAGCATTAAATTTGAGACCCACTTGCAGCAATTATGTAGAATAAGATGGTATCTGAACTTTATCTCTGAGCTTTATCTTACTACTTTACCCATATTTTCTCTTTCTCTTGTCTTCTCTATTGGCTTTTATGTTCATATTTTAGTTATTGCTCTAAATTGGCTTCTAGCATTTGGGTCAAAGCAGAAGTCAAAGAAACAAAGAAAGAAATAAAAACAGTTATCAAAACTGATTAGGTATTTCTTTGGAGATTCAGGAAGTCAATTATTAATGACTCCTACAAATCATGGCATGCCTGACACAAGAACTCAGTTAAGATTTCTTTCTTAATCAGAAAACTTCTACCTGAATTATATATACTAAGTATATTTCCCTTGGAAACACAGCGCTGGGACTGCAGTAGTGAATGAGGCAGACATGATCCCCTCTTAGAGTCTAGGGGACAAGACAGAAAACATCCATGACAACAAATTATACTACCATATAACAAGTGCTGTGGGAGAAGACACTAGAAATACAAGACCAAGCAAATAGAATCAAGGTAGTTTGGGGTATGTTTATATTAACCTAAAAATGGCATTTAAGATGAGACCTGTCAATGATCATAAGTTATCTAGTCTAAGGTATTAACAATAAGAATATTTCAGTTGGAAGGAAAAGTAATGCTTCTAGCAAATTATTCAAATTAAATCTAATGATAAGGGACTGAGTTAAAAACATGGGATTTACACAAGCCTTGGCCTCCTTCTTTCAGTAGCCATGTGCAGATATACCATCTATATACCAACACATTACATTTCTGGGTATATCTGTAGTCTGAAAGTCAAATATTTAAAACCAGGTCTTAAAGATTTATGACATATTTCCTCATGAAAAGGGCCTCTGTTTCTATCACCTTGTTTGTTTGTTTGTTTGTCTTTATGATTAGTTAACTACTCCAGTCAATAACAATTTAGATTAGATCAAATGCTTACAACCAGAACCAAGGACCTAACATTAGCATGAAAAACTTTACAGGAAAATCAAAGCATGTGTTTTTTAAAATATATGTTTACTACATCCAATATTTCTATTAGGGGAAGTCTAAATATTTATTGCCAAAATTTCTATGCGTAAGAATTTTATCTCATTTTTCAAAATCTGCCCAATGAAAACCAGCTGGCCAAACATTTGAACCCATTTTGAGCTAAATACACATAAAGGAATCTACACCAAGGACTACTTAATTGAACCATCTGTCTCAAAATAATCTAAAGTTCCAAAGATTATTTGTCTAAATACAGTCTACTGTCTAGATAATTTATTCAGTTTTATTTTGGACAAGTAGTTCAGAGCTATCACTGTCATTTCTCTTCAAAGCAAAGGGCCACTATGACTAGGGTCTCTAGTTCTAAATAATTCTGTGCATTTTGGAGAGGGGCATAGAGGCAGGGAATGTGTGGAGAGGCACATTTAGCAACACTGTCTTAGGCTTCTGTATGCAGGCTGCAATCCACACTTATTCATGACACAGAAGTAAGATACCAAATTTAGTGCATAGTCTCTTATCCCCACTTCTGCTACTAATACTTCCAAGGACTTCAGTTTCACACTTTTGAAAATATTCTCTTCAAAAATGGCAAAGTGTTATAAATGAAGGTTTTACAGATTTACTTAACAGGCAGTAGGGAATGTGAGAGTAAGGGTATGGTGATTATGTAGAGTGTCTGTTTAACAACGATTGAGAAGAAAATTACAAGCCACAGGTGTATGCAGAGGGTCATCTTGACCATAGCAATCTCTTCCTACCTGCCTCTTTGGAAATCTGCGTGAAGGATTCCACACCTTTCTCTCCATAACTTCCTTCAGATGCAAGGGTAGACACATAATTCCAGCCTAGGGCCTTTACAATGTCCACCATAGCCTGAGCTTGGAAGGAATCAGGTGGGACCACACGAGAGAAGAAGTCGTAGCGCCTGTCATCACTTAACTCAGGTGCCGTTGATGCATAACTGATCTGGGGGATCTGGAAAGAAAAGAAAGCACCACATGAGAGAGCACACCACCAGGATGTGAGAGATTCATTTATACTTATGACCAGTGACTCACAATATATGGCTTGAGCTCCCAAAGAGGATGCACCCTATAACTGTAAACCCTAAATGCAGCCAACCACCTTCTGACAGCATAAAAGGGTGTACTTTTGTGCTTTGGCCTTTTGTTTTCTCCTCTTTAGAAGAGGGAAAGAGGATGGCATGGGAATCACATGAATCACGGTGGTTAGGAAAGCAAACTTTGTAAACATTCTAACAAACATTTAGATCATGCTTTACTTCTTATACACTATTAGACACCATCACCACCACCACAACAGAAAAACAATCGCCTAACTGGACTTTGTATAGAGATTGGTTTAATTGACAAAGTTCATGAATATTGGTGGGTGCCATCAGATGTCTAATGTTGTTTGAGTACTGATCACTTATGAGGAAATATCTATGCAAGCTTCATACATTATTCCATGCATTCTTCACAAAAATGTTATTAAGTAGTTAAGTAACACCCTTAGAACCAGGCAGGAGGTTCCTTGCCACAAGGCCTTCGCTTCAGTGGTCCCTGCTCTTTGGAGGGCCTTAATTCAAATTGTCTAAGCTCCTCTTTGGGTGATGATAGAAGGTTGGAATTCCTGCCTGCGTGGAGCCCATGTAGCTGTCAGGTCCCACTTAAACAATCCTCTGGCCCTCTACCTTACATAGGATTAACCAGATCACAAGGAGCCCTAGAACTTATACTTGTAAGGATCATCCTAGGGTCCCATAGCAGGACTCTGTTTCCAGGATGGTAGCCTAACACACAGATTGCTCCCCTTATCTGGTATAGTATTTTTTCTTAGGATCACATGAGATTAGGCTACCTAAGTAGGCCTGACACTCTGATTTTAGCTCAGTTAAATTACATACACATAAAGAGGCCCTAATAAAAAATGTTTGGGGTTCCAGATACCCAAGAGGAAGCTCTGAAATAGCCATTAGTTAGGACCCTGTGTTAGGTCCTAACCTCAAGACCTCTCACTAACTACTTTTATAAGCTCTGCCCCCTCATTCTTCTAACACTAGCATGCAATAGGCTATGATTGGTACCATCAGTCCACATATAAAAATGAGCAACTTCGCCAAATTCTGCCTGCGTGCTTTACCAGGACTCACCCTTGTTATTTATCATACGTATTTCTCAAGTAGCTAAAGGCCAGTTTTGATCTTTGCTCAAGCCAAGCCCAACAGTCAGTTCTGCTCCAAAGATGTCAAAGCTACACTCAAGCTGATTGTTTGAGCCCTCAAAAAATTCTACTCAATGTTAATCTGTTCCTAAACCCATTTCTATTGTTTAAAGCTGGTTACCACCTCTGAAAGCTCATTCCTCTACCAGTCTTGTTGGTGTGCATTACTGTTAAGTCAGATGGCCTTGGCAGTAGATGACCCATCATGCAGCCCATCCTTGATGCACTTTATCTCTATGACCACTGGGGGCACTGTCACTATGCAAAGCCTCAAATCAGTGTGAGAAAGCCTCAGTCCCCTGATGAGGAGCTACACTTGATAAAGGGGTAGTGAGGTGTAATGGAAATAAAATGGGCTTTAATATTGACAAGATCTGGAATCAAAGCCTGATGTTTCTCTTCACGAGTGTTTACTTTGGTGAAGTTTACCTCTATGAGGTATCATTAATAAGTTTATTTTGAGGTATAAGAATAATGATTATGCATTGCTCACCATGATGCCCAGGACAGACTGGTTAATTAATACATGGGGGCAACGATAATCCAAGCAGAGAACAGTGTGCTTCCTCACTAAGTTTACCCATTCCCCTCATTTGACTTCCCAAGTTCTCTGTGACACATTATCACATTCCCCTCATTGTCTTAAGGGAAGAACATAGTTTTAATCATTCCTATCATCACTTTAGAAATAATCTTTACTATTTATCCAACTCTTTCTTACCACCAGTTATGTTCTAAAAGTTTATATGCATGAACTTATCAAACCATCAGTAAGTATTCTTTACCATGTTATACTATTATTACCTCATTTTACGTGAGAGGAAATTGAAACTTGGAAGTAGAATCATATGACCTTGTCTCAAGTCACAAAGTTGTAAGAGAGAGAGCAGCACCCACACCCGAGAATGCCCAGTGTGAACTTATGAACTCTTAACTACAATACTTTGCTGAATCACTGGTAAAACAATTTAATAAGAATGAAACAAGGAAGGGAAGTATATTACTGGAGTTCAGGCCAATTTCTGTCCACAGAGCTGATTACAGAGCCAATGAAAGTTTTTAAGTGATCATTCTTAGACTGTTATTCAAACATTTTACATAAATCCCTTGTTGAAGCTTATACAAATATCTCAGTAGAATGAGCTATCTGTTTCATTTATAGTTCCAAGCTTATAAATTTTAGGTAAAGAAATATCAACTGAATAAGGGCTCTGGACAGAAAAAAAAAAGGAAGGGATTAAGAGACGGACAAAGAGAGGGAGAGAGGTGGGATGGGAGGGAGAGATTTTTTCATATAACAAATAAAAAGGAAAGAAGCCAAGCATGTCAATACATTTCCATCAGTTTCAACTTGTGGAAATGTAAAAGCTTCATGCTGTTGAAGCTGCCAAAATCCATTTCTACGTTTGAAACAGTGCTAATGAAGATACATCCAGTCTTTTACTTGGATTTGCATTTATGTAGCTGCTGTAAAATATCAGAATTGTGGAGCGCTCCCAAATCCAGTGCATTTTCTAAACTGTGCCCAAATATAGTAATGAAAATCCTGGTGAAACATACTGCTCCCTTCACTACATGCACCCTTTGAAAGTGGTCACTCCCAGTGGTCCAGCTCTTCATTATAAATAAGATGTATCTCCCAGTTTAACTCATATGGCCCTTTAGGATCATGTGCACATCTTATATACAGTGTACTTATTTCTACATTATTCACATGCTAGAATAAGGAATGAAAGAACAAATGGATTTCATTTCTGTGATAAAAATATAGCTGCATAAGGACATGCCTCCTCAAAGTAAGAGAAGAAGGACTGCAAGAATTTATGTAACCTATGAAATATGATGCTATGCACTTATTTAAGTATTATGTTGCATATTTAGTTACTCATTTTCAAAATAGTGTTTAAACGCATAAAGTAATTATTTTGAAGTTTGTGTTATAACTGGTACCTACAACTGGCCAAATTATATTAGTCATCTTCAGTTTTTGACCTCCACAGTCTCCTTGAGACCTTAGTGATTTTCTGTAACTGAAACCCTCCCTTCTTGCCAGTCTCCTATGGAAATGCAGAATTGATCTCTTGATGAAGAAAATTCCGGTAATAACACTTTGGCTATAGGAAAGTACATATTTCATCTCTTCTAGAGACTTTTTTCTCTGATTAAAATGAAAGGGGGGGGCACCTGGGTGGCTCAGTTGGTTAAGCATCAGACTATTGATTTCAGCTCAGGTCATGATCTCACAGTTCATGAGTTCAAGCCCCACATCTGGCTCCAAGCTCAGAGCACAGAGCCTGCTTGGGGGTTCTCTCCCTCTTTCTCTCTCTGCCCCTCCCCTGCTTGCATGTTCACTCATTCTGTCTCTGTCTCTCTCTCTTTCTCTCTCTCTCTCAAAATAAGTAAATAAACTTTAAAAAAAAACCCTCTAAAAAACCTAAATAACTTTTAATCTGTGCCAGAAGACTAAATTTTTCATCTTATCTCATCATTCTCTGCTTGTCATAAAAACCTGCCTATCACATAAACATGGTTTTTATTAATGATGTGCCCCAAATAGGAATGAAAACATCTCCAGTCTATTTCAGTTGTTTAGAATGAGTTTGTGCTTTTTCTTCAGAAAACAAAAAAGAAGAAATAACTTTAATATCTTCATCTCTGTTTACATTTTGTCACTTTCTGATTTTTGTGTGTGTACTGAGGTACACACACACATATTACTAACTATGAAAATGCAGGTCTTAATCTCTACTTCCCTCCCCTGACCCTTTCATTTGTCTTTCTCTCTCTTTTCAGTTGTAGAATATTCTGCTCATCTAAACCTAACATTTATTATTAAATGTTTAAACATTTTCCAAGTTTTTGCTATTAGAATAAAAAAGAAGAATCCTCAGAGCTAATTCAATTCTGTGTCGATATCCATGAGTATTTTGTTAGAACACTGTTCAAGCCCCTACCCCCCACCAGTGTGACAGAAATACTTAAGGTTCACATTTAAATATTTCCCTGTATTTAAATTACTTGGAACCATTATAGAAGGTAGACTAGCATGCTATAGCAATTTCCCTCAAATGGTTAACTACTTGCCCCAGCACCATATATTAAATAGTCATTCGTTACTGATGAGAAAGACCACCTCTTGTCACATCTTAATATTTTTAGGTTTATTTACTTATTTTGAGGGAGAGAGAAAGACAGACAGAAAGACAGACAGAGGCAGAGAGAGACAGTGGGAGCAAGAGAGGGGCAGAGAGAGGGAGAGAGAGAGGATACTAAGTAGGCTCCACGCTGTCAGAATAGAGCCGAACGGCAGGGCTTGATCTCACAAACCGTGAGATCATGATCTGAGCTTAAATCAAGAGTCAGATATTTAACCAACTGAACCATCTGGGTACTCCACAGATCTTTAAATACCCTTGGATCTTTGTGGAATATTCTCTCCTTGCTCCATTTTTCTATCTTCCACGTCTAAGGACAGCGTTTTAGTGTTTTAGTTCTTATAAGCTTAGAGTGTTTAGGGCTACATTATTTGAAATGTATCCTCTCTTCTTTTTTTTTTTTTTTTTTTAATATTTTTTTATTTATTTCTAGGAGAGAGAGACAGCGTGAACAGGGGAGGGTCAGAGAGAGGTGGAGTCACAGACTGAAACAGGCTCCAGGCTCTGAGCTGGCTGTCAGCACAGAGCCCGACGCGGGGCTCGAACCCACGAACCGCGAGATCATGACCCAAGCGAAAGTCGGACGCTTAACCG